TAATTCTTTCATAATGTTACATTTTACTCCCTACCTGTCTCCATACTCATATTATAGGCATAACATAGTCATGAATTATTTCCAATGTATGGACTTTAAAAATTCTGTGCATTGTCATGAACAGTAGGCAGGTCCTGATAAAATCTTGGTGTAAATTGAATGTTTGAAAGCCAAGAGCTGTCATCTTGGAGCTTTCTGTGCAGTTAGGAGATGTTTGATGCTTTGTAAATACTGGCAAATATTGATGAGGTATTGTGCCCCGCAATAAGGAAAATGGACGTTGGTAATTGTTTTTTGAATAGGAGGATGATTGAACGAAAGGTAGACTTAGCCGTTTCACCCATTGAAACACTGAGACGTGTGGCACGTGTGAATTGTCATGGTAATGAAACAGGAGACCAAATGAAAGGGTCCCAAATCTAGGTGAATTTCTCTTGCAATTTTTCATGGAAGTGTGGGGCCTGAGAAAAGGGATGATAAATGACCAGCTTTGATGATCAATCTTCACTCGATAATTGGTGAGTGATGTGAAAAACTGAAGGAGGGATATGCACAATTTATAAGGATGTCAAGAGGGTCCTAAGGCTAAGAAAAGATGAAGCTAGTATAGAAACATTGATTTTGTCCATCTTCAAGACCTACTGGAGATTGTAAACTTCACAAGCATTTTTAGGAGCAAACCGTTATCTTGTAGTACTTTCTGGATGAGTATACAAACTTGTGATAATAATCATAGATAAAACAGACAGTGTCATAGCATAGTAAGACTGATTTAAAGGTTAAACTGTGCTAATCTTCCATAATAGGTGCCCTCTGCTATCTCTCTTCTAGCCCGGTCGTTAATTAACTGGGCTTGGGCTTGGTAACCAATGGTGGATTAAACAGGTGAACATTGGTGGGTCAAACCTGCTAGTTAGTACTTTACAAGTTATTTCTTTTCAGAGTTCTTTGGTAAATGGGTTGAAGTGTGGTTAAAAGGGAAGGAGTCGAAGTCTGGGTTATTTGCATGGCCTTTCGCAGGGCTGTCAGTGATTGTCAGGTAATCTGTGCTGGGGTACAGAAGGGCAGAGACAAGGCCTGTGGCTCTTATGGCAAGTGAAAGAACTAGGTCACTGATGTTTATGTAAGACTAACCCAGGGCCCTTCAGGTAAATATGTTTGGCAGCACTTTTTGTTGAAGAAAAGCTGGGAGTACTTTGTCGTCAAGTCTCAGTAGTCCAATCTATTTTTTCGAGGAAATGTTGTTTTCCCCGGCACGAGTTGATTTTAAATCATGGCGCGGTAATCGTGTAGTGCTTCCGTAAATGCGCACTCTTAAGTGAATTCTTGATAACAGTTGTTGATTGGCTGGCGGCGGAGCGGTGACCCATGGTGACCTGGGGTCAGAACAGGTCATTACACTGGGAGTGTTTCGCATTCTTGCCTGTAAGTTTAAACTTACGCGCCAAAAGTAGATCCTTTGAGCAGTCAGCCAAGCAAACAGCACACACGTTCGAAGGCCAAGGCCTCCCTGTTTTTTATGACATGACATGTAAAAATTATATCATCATGTTAAATAACATTATGTAACCATGAATAAGGTTTTATTCACAGTCCTTCATAGTTTATTCATAGGTTAAAAAAACATTTTCAGGTGTGCTCAGGTACAATTGTTCTAGCGTTGTGTCTTTATTTCCTTTTGTATCCAAAATGTTTTTGTTCTGTCAATTTTAAACTTATACTACTGGTATGTAAGAGATGATTTCTTCCATGCCCAACCCTTATGTCAGCATGTCCTATGACATCTTCCGCGTTTTGTACGACTAACACTTTGCGCTGTATGCTAATTAGTCCGAACTCGTGCCGAAGCTAGCAAAGAAGAGTTTTGCTGAGCTTAAGTGTTGCGCAAGTATTTACAAGCTGTAAGAGGGATTTTTGCAATTTTGGTAGAAAAAATTCTACGACCTTAAACTCTAGAGCATGATATCGTGTGGCCTTTCTGTTCGTGTTTAATTATACATGGTATTCCGGGATTAAATTACAGTATGATTTTTTAAATAGAGGCTTTGTACTACAAGAACTTACTTAGGACAATAATGAACACAAGAATGCTTGGAAAAATATTTTTCAGAAATAATGTTATATCATAAAAATAAACCAAAACCAATCATTGTTTTACTTCCAAAGGCTGACTGTAGTTTGATACTATTAATAGTAAGTATTATATACATGTATATTGGCCCTCTGTGACAAGCTAACACGTACAGTTACAGTGTAGGAAAACTGCACCTTGATGCCATTATTACTGAATGGAAAATTTCAATTTATTTTGAAATGAAACATGAAAGAAGCATTTGCCCAGTGCAGCTGCAAACCATTAAGGCAAATGACTTTTGGGTCCAAAGGGGAGGTGTAATGGTCCCCTTGGTCTTGTGGTGCGGAACTCAACTTGGTACATCTGGAGGCTGCGAACCAAACGTCAGCCACCGTGAGCCACGCTACGTTTGAATTTCCGCGGGAAAGGTCACGTGAAGGGAAGCGTCGGCAATGGGGAGGTCAGCGCTACATTCCTGGTCTTCAGAAAGCCTGGCCTTGGGGTCAGCGGTTAAGTGACCCCTGGATACCCGGCCATTTTCCTGCTTTCACCAAGCCTGAGAGGAAATAGCTTCAGGAAACAAATCAAATTGGAGGTTGTCTGGCCTTTTGACCCGACCTTTTTGTACAAAGTTGGCCTATTTCTGCAAAGCGCAAACACAACATAAACAAGATGTTCCAGTTTTCTCGTCTCCAAAACCTTCGTTGATATGATTTTTTTCATATAGAAAGTGCTTTAGAATCTTCGCTCAACTCTCTGCTCTGTGTGATTTAGATATGGTCAAATGAAAGTGCTGAACCTACTTGTAAAATCACAGTGCAATGTACGCTTTTCTTGTGCCATGATGGTGGCCTCTTAAGTCTAAGTGTAAAATTTCAACGTACAAGTTGCAGGAGTTTATAGCCGCCATATAGAATTATCTCCAATTTCTAGCCTGAGACAGCTGCCTGAAAGCATGCTAGGGTAAAGGTTAGGATGCTTTGTTATAAGAAAGCTTTAAGACAGCTACCTGGCCACAGTTGTGTTGGACTGCAAGTTTTTTGTGCCCGTGACTTACGTGCACATTTGGTCATGGCTTTCAATGTTTCAAAGTCAAAGACATGATTGTAATGATGGTCTAAGTAACAAATATCATGACAAAACAGTACAATACAGTGGCACACAGACTAGACTAAAGGTAGAACTTGTGTTAGCAACATCTACTGCTTTTTGTAACACCGATGTTCTGAGTTTCTACTTTGATTTTACATCCTTTTTTGATACAGATTAACTTACTAACTAGAGCCAGTCTTCCAAAACAGTTGCCGTACAGTGTTTTGGATGGAACAAACACGTAAACGAAGGTAGAACATGGAGGGACTATCATGAGGTTTTTGTTGCCCTCCCGACGGCCATATTTGCCCCTGCCATTTGGCTTATTAATGACTGTCCAGGTCAGGAGGTTTGACCTCGCGGCCCTGGCCTGCTGCTCGCGACCTTGCTGATTTCAAATTCTGCGCGGGAAAAGCCACGTGCACGAGAGAAGACAAACCAGCACGTGGCAGCCGTGTTATCTCAGCGTATGCCCCGAGAAGGGCCCTTGATTGTGGACGTGAATTAGAGCAGGTTCATGACTGTACAGAAAATGTGACAGTCTATGATAAATGAGTTGGATCTGGATATTGGCTGAAGTATTAGATAGAAAATTAGTTTTTGGAAAGAGCAGCTTGAAGGGCTGTTTTGCATATACACTTGGGTGCAATAAAATCCTGATTGCCTTTGGCCATCACTAAAAGAAAGGATGTTTTCAACCTTCTTGCTGGAACTACCGAAAGGTCCCCTTTTGTCGTTTGTTTTTGGCTTTAAACAGCATTTGAAAGTTACCTTGTAGGAAGTGTCAGATAGGAAGTTCCCACGGTAAACTATCACTTTTGTGAACAAATGTGTGGATAGATTGATGTACGTACACTTCGCTAATGGCACGTGTGGGCATTGTTAATATGCGCATAGCTAATGAGTGGTGACTGACCTGGGGTTGTGACACTTGACCTCTGCTACTGGGTCCCTTTCAGTGGCGCTCGTCCTGTAAAACTTGTTTTTGTGGACACTGGCGCCACTTTTTCAATTAATTCGCGGAACTTACCATACGCGCATTGAGGGACACTGTTGATAGATCCTTGTTTACCTATGCGGGAATTTGCTCGGACATCAAACCCATGGTTAGCGCTGACATATATATGGTGGGAGCGATTTTGACTGAGAAGCGTGTATACATACGGCTGTATATCTCTCATGTGCTCCATAGAATCCCACATTGTTGGCGGAAAATGTTATTTCCCAGCTGCGCGGCCGTCTGGACTTGGCGACAGCATCTGTCTCCAAACCTTTCTCCCAAGAAATAATTACAGAAGCTTTGTTGATATGTATAGATTTGATACGCCGTTGACTGTGTGGTTCAAAGCTGTCTCTCAGTATTGGGTTTGCAGCATTAATAGTTTTTCTTGCAGATAAGTTTAATGGAAGGATCTGAAATAAAAGCGGCTTAAGCTCTTATGAAATATTTATTGATTATCAATAAGAGCAAACTATGATTTGCATATGATATCAGCAGGGATAGAATGAGTTACGACAGCCCTCTCTTTTATGACAAGCATTTTATTTCAAGAATTTTTCATACAATTTACTGGTCTTACCAGTAAGGTTGTTAGGACTATAATACAAATAGTCCCATATATTCTATATGATAATCATGAATGTAGAGCATGCAAGGAACATACAAGCTTAAGTGTTATGTTAATTGAAGGAGAGGATAGATATTGATGTATTTAATGGATGGGAATATCATTTGTGGCAATGTTTTTGTACTAGTAAGTACGTTATGGTATTCTAACTAAGTATTCTTCTCTTCCATATGCTGTCCTGCCTCCTGTTCCTGTCCACTTCACAGGTGAGTGTATGTTTCTTTCTCAGGTGCCTTCGGGCCACTTTCCTTTGTAAAACATTTATCGTTTCCAAAGTATCATAATTGGTTGCGAAGACAGGTAATTACGTAAAACTCACTCAATATTTCATGGCATGCGGTAGATTTTCTATTGTGTTATTGAATGTACAAGTACAAGACATTAGCCATTCTGAAAGGTATTTGTGAAGTTTGCTGTTCTACTTGGTTTATTGAGGTGTGGTTATTGAATTCCTAGAATGAGTAGACAACTTTTTTCAAGGAGCTGTTTGAACAGAAAGTTAACTCTATTAGCAGATCTCCCGGGGATGCTATGATCTGCACTTTAACCTCTGCGCTTGTTGCGTTGTCATCGAACATCGATTACCGCTAACAAATATGACCTGTTGCGACATTCGTGCGGGGGCAAATTAGATAAACTCCCGTTCGTGTCAATTGAATTAATGAGAACGGGAACGCGGCGCTCGGGCCGGTCTCAGGCGTGTCCGGGTTGCTGCGTGACCACCTGTCCGCTCGCATGGCTGGCTGCGGAGAAAGGGAGGGGTCAGCAGCGGGATCACCTCTGCCCCGGGTCGTCAGACAACAGCCTGGCAATGGGAGCTCCGTGTCACCCTGTATTTTACACCTACATTGTCCCGACTGGACCCGTGCCCGTAAATCTGTCCAGTCAGGGGGAAGAACTGGAACAAGCAGACTCTTACAGATCTGACAGCCAATTACTCTCACCGGAACACCTGCATCCTCCAATTTGCAGGCGAGGAAAAAAAGGCTGGCAGATCTGATGATATGAGTTATGACTGTCAAGTATTTGTGCAGATGTTTGGGTATGTGTATGTATGGTATTGAAATATACATGTTTAAAGAAGTTATGTAAAAACTCACTCAGACAGTGAAAAGAGAATTTGATGTTCCAAGGCTGGCTCAATGTCTTGCCATATGTAACATTGAGTAATGTAATAATCTCTGCCACCTTATGATGACTTTGAACTCGTTTCCTTGTACATGTATATCTCAGTCAGATCTCTAGCTCATTTCAATAGAGAAATGTCATAACCCAATTATTGTTGATGTATGATAGCAGTGATCATTCAGAACTGTCACTTTCAATATCATATCCAATATATTGTATGCCATTGATATTCAGCTATTTGGGTTGATTTTTAAAGTTAAGGCCAGTGGTTTTATCCCACAGTCTAAAGTTCGATGACACAGTACATCGAGGACTGGATTCAATGCACATTACATGGTTCAGCAAAGGGGAGCAACAGCTCCATATATTACCTCAAAATCCTGATGTAGCAATTCAATTCAATAACTTATTGCCCTATGCATGAAAGGGACCAAAGACTAACAACTACATATGTGGTTGTGAGATAGTCATAATAATTACAGAAAAAAACTTAATTCTACTTCTATATGTTGAAAATGGAAGAATTTTTAAGCAAAGTAAAATATATTATATCACAGAGTAGTTTGAATTTATTTTAAGTATGTAAATGTTATGCATATATGCCAGCACGTCATGGATATCAACGTCATGGATATCAAAGAGATTCAGGTCTAGAAGTACTATATATATTATGATACTTCCCAGTTATTGTGTATATATTGTGTATATAAAGGTAGCGTGAGAAATTTCTTTTGGTTCCTTTTGTTGTACTCCCTTCCCAACGTCTGTCAAGTCCAGGTTTTGGAACAATAGGTGCTGGGAGTCATTTTTTATTGCCAGATTGGTAACACGAGTGTCTGCGGTGGCACCGGGGACCGGGAGCGCTGAATTGTTCAATCATAAGCCATTGAAGAGTCAGACTATGTGCTGGGATCTGTTCCTACTGCTAAGGTCACGACGTACCTGACCCTGGCGCCTGCACGCATTCAACGCCTGCTTACACAATTAAATTTCTTTGAAGGAAGTGTTCCAAATGTATGCGAGAATACCCCCAACCTGTCATTAAAAAGTAGAAATTATATGGGGTTAGGGAAGCTTGTTGCGAGGTCATGACTCGGCTGACCTTGCCTGCTGTACCCCTGAATGGCTTTGCCCTGTAGTCTGATTGGCCATTGGGAGAAATTCAAATTTATGCGAGAAGTTGTTTGAAAGGTATGAGAAAGGAGCAATCGCGCTGTTTCAGTCGAGGTCCCGACTCCCTGACCTGGATGGCCTCACCTTTTATTGGGCGTTGGGGACAATTAAATCGGCAACAATAACCCGCATTCAAATTTATGCAAGAATGTTGACTTAGGTTAGTAGAAAGGAGTCGCGTGGTAGGTGCCCCTGGTAGCGGATAGGTCCCGACTTTTGACCCCCGCCATCCGATTGGCTCGTAGGGAACAATCTGAGTCAAGTATCAGTTGACCTGTATAAGTGTGGGAGACAGGGACAGGAGTTGTTCGTCCTCACGTGCCTTACGGAGAGGACACGAGCGCGCTGACCCCTCGTCGGACCCCTGCCCCACAGCTGACACGACAGTCAAGGACGCCAACCTCGGGACCTGCTAATTGAATAGTTAGTTGTGACATCCGGGGGAAGAGGACAGGACACGGGTTTGTTCTGTGAGAACATGGCCCAGTTGGGACTGGAGAAAAGGATCCATCTTGACTCTCCATTCCTGCAGGCTGGGTACTGTCTTCCCAAAACGTCCTGGGACGACTCCTTCTGTGAGTAGAGTTTGCCGAGTTTCATGTATACTCTAGGAGATGTCTGTTTTCCTGGTTAAAAGGCTTGACTTTCAAAAACCCTTCCGGATTTGAATTTAGCGTCATTCCATTTTGGTCTCTTTCAGACTCAAGATTACTTTATTTAGAAATATTGTAATATGTTGTCTTGATGTACCACTCAAGGTTTAGGAGCACAGCAAATATACTGTACTCTTGAAAGAAACAATTTTGAAAAAAATGTATACGCAAATGTATACTTGTCCCTTCTGTACTGAAGGTAGTACAAATTGTTGATTGTTTATATGGGAATCCAGATCAGGAAGCTATTTTTAGGACTACTTAGTCACTTTTCCTTCTGAATGTAACATTTGTAAGCTGGTTAAAAGTGGAGCTTTTCCCGGCCACAACTGAACTAAAAGTGGAAAACTAGACTGTATGTATTCGGCTAGCCTGGTACTCGGACATGTCCAGACATGTCATTTATCAGTACATTAGTAGCCTGGGAAAGAGCAGAGAAAATGATAAATCAACCAGAACTGTAATTCTGCTGGTCATGGTCTTTTGTAATCATTAGCAAGGACTGAGTACTGCTTTCCACCCAGGTATTGTCCTACTCTGTTGGAAAAGTACATGTAAAATCTGCTAAAGAATTCCATGTATTTGTAAATTTCAATTTAATTTTTGCATCTGTGTGTATTGGTGATTTCAGTTAGGCTACTGTTCTTCGTATGTTGGACCAAAGTTTTGGTCTCATGTTGAAGGGTACTGTAATAGGATTATCTGTTACTGTGGACTTTTTAATGATCATTTCAACGTGTTCAGCTAGCAAGGCTAGCTACAAATGTAGCTGCTACTCTCTTGTGCGTCAAGGACCCCTGCGGCAGTATAATCAAAGACTGGATACTAATACAGCATCTAATGATTATTTCAACATGTTCAGGGAAAACTTTACCCTTGCCTTAACCCACCCCTTGTATAAGGAATAGAAGTCTGAGGACAAGGATGAACCCACAGAAGGATAAAGGTTAATGTCAGTGTTTTGCTGCAAATGATTTTTTTACTCTTCAAAATTTCATTCCTACTTTTGTACTTTTAAAGTTCAATTTTCAATGAGAAGTCAGTTGTGAGAAAACTACCAATGTTAACTAGTGCATCTCTGTCAATTGTACATACGTCTGCTACAATAGAGGAAGACACCCATGAAGAAGACAGTCTTAGAGCTGGTGCAGGCAAATGCCATCCCATACATGGGTGCTGTCCCTTGTGCTGATTTTCTACTGTTTTTAGATGAAGAAAAATTATTCTTTGGAGTGCCTTTGTTCAAAACAAACTGTGCCTAGAGTCAGGTTTGAAGTTTCTAAATGTTCTTTTTATCTTTAGCTATATACATTCAAATGTAATGCAGTTCTACTAGACATTAGATACTGTAACATTGCGTTCACATTTGGCAATGTAAATGTGGAGTGGCCTGCTTGACAATGCATGCGTAGTACATAGAACAATAGAAATTCGCCTCTCAGCCACCTACAAAAGTTCTGCTGAATTAAACATCAGCTGACTTTCATCCAAACTTGAACGCTCTGGCGAGCAGCTGCATTCTGTTGCCTCCATAACAAAGGGAGTGGAAGGCCTAGCTGTTTGTCATATTAGGTATGAAAATAAAGGAGAATGCAGATCATAGGAAATCTGTTTTCAATTGGGGTCAATTGGCTTCCATGTTGTAAATCCTCCCCTATTGCAGATGAGTGCATTTTGAGTTGTTCCCATGGTAGACCACCTCAATCATGCCATGAAAACTCCATTGTTGCACAGTTAGGGTACTCAGAACGCCAACAGCCAAAGCCTGAGAGACTTCTGGTCTCTGGATGGGAAATACGGCAGAACAATGACCAAGCTTCATGAATCAGGCCGGCTGGCAGTTGGGAAAGTCCTGGAGTGGTATTGTTCAGCTGATTTTATGGAAACCATTGGCTCGGTTTGAGGTGCCTTTGACACATCGGGCGCCTGATTCAGGCATAATTATAGAGTTGCATGGGAAAAGGAGGTGCACATTACACTGTTAATTTTTCAGGGACTGAGAGGGGACCACACTTGCTCGTAAAGCACATAGTTATGCAGGAGACCACTGTGTCTTTCTTTGTATATTTTTTTGAAGCAACTTTGAACATATTTATATCAGTTTAAAGTTGTCCTTGGGTTTTAGAAAATTACTTTTGTACTGTATATCGCCTTTGCAACAAATTTTCCCATAATTTTCAACCCATCTTCTAATTTCTGGATGTGAGATAGTTCACTTCACTCACAAATTTCTGAAAATAGAGAATAAAGTTATTTCA